ACTGGCCAAGAAAAATAAGTGGTTAGTTAATGATAATTGCTAATGTTAATTGCAAAGATACAATTATTCTTGTCTGGTGTTTAATATTTAGATTAGAAAGAGGAAAAATTTCAAAATTATGCAAAAATTTTCAAATGTTTATTTTTATTAAATCTAACAATCTCAATCGCTGTTTAAACAGCATTTATTTCATTAAAATAATAAATTTACTGTACTTTAAAAATACAATTAACTATGCTAGATAAGAAAAATCTAAAATAACTTAATTAGATAATAAAATATAGATAAATTGACAAAATGTAACAGTTTCAAAAACTGACAGTATTATACTTATCCTTTATAAAATAGGGGAAAAATGTTATTAAACACATATTTACAAAAACTAATTATCATTATTATTAACATAACAAAAAATATTATTAAATACAAATTATCACACAAACTGGTTTCATATTATGAAGGCCGACACAGAACTGGATTTTCTCAAAAAATTAATCTCAAATATATATTAGTGGCGGACAAAAACTTGCACAAACTGCACAATTGATTTACGAAAGACATTTGATAGTATCAAAATAAAACTTGACTGGAAAATAATATAAAAAAGATACAGCTGAATAATAAAACTGTAATACCGAGACTTTAGGATAACAAAGAAACTAGAGTTCAAATTTAGCACAACCAAAAATGTTAAACAAAATGTTAGTATATATTTATTATAGTTTAAAATGGTTCAAAAAAACAAGATAAATATCAAATAAAGAAAAGTAGGTTTAATATGGAACAAAAAAATACGAGGCTAAAAATAAAAAATGTCAATTTATACGCTGACTATCAAATCACATCATCGCTTCTTTAAATCTTTCCATGTCCACTGCTTGACGAACTAAACGAAGAAAAAATGATGCAAGACTTACAAGGGAATAATAGGTATACCAAATAAAACTATAAGTATGATATGATATTTTTATTTTGAAATAATAAAAATAAAAAATGGTGTAGACAAGGAGGTGCGCTCTTAACGGTACTATTTATTCTATCACTAGACAAGATAATAAAAAAGCTGTCAAACGCAAGAACTATAAACAAGAATGCAGTACAAATAACAGGATATACGGACGATATAACCATAGTCTTTCTTTATGTGCCGTCTTCTACCGAAGGTTGGCGACCATTCATACGATAGGTTTCTCTGTTTTGTGCCGCATGAATTATGTTCGCAGCTTCTGGTATTTGAAACCATTCTCTCAAGTTTGTCAGCCAGGATTTCTTCTTTCTGCCCAAACCTCTTCTACCTTCAATCTTGCCTTCCACGATAAGCTGTAGCAGACTGTACTTATCATTACGGAACACATGGCCCAGGTATGACGCTTTCCTCCTTTTAACAGTTGTTAACAATTCCACCTCTTTACCCATTCCACCTACTACCCATAACCATAGTAGTAACAGATAAAAGGGCATTAAAGAAAACCTTTCGAGAAATAGAAAACGAAGTTAAACTGAGAGGACTAGAATAAATTAAAATAAAACAAAACACATGAACGTAAGCAAGAAAAAGAAGACACAAATAACAGAACTGACAATAGATGCGCAAAGTTAACTTTTGGTAGCATTATTTAAGTTAACTACATTAAAATATAAAATATATATATATATATATATATATATATAAAAGATGTAAAGTGAAGTTACCACAGTATGCTTGGCACCTGTTGCAGTTGAAATGGCGTTAATTAAAGTTAGATGAAGTCTAAAATAAAATTTTTTGCATAGTTGGAAGTGAATCAATGATTTTCTTAGTTCTTTTTCACTAGTTAATATTATATTAAATATTATATGCTTATTAGACCACGTGTTCTGTTGCTTTGCTAATTTTTACTAAGTCTCTAAATGTTGTTAGTTATTTAATTGTTTATACAATATCACCATATGATGTCCATTTATTTGAGTTTTTTGTACTAGCTTTTTAATACAATTGACAACTACATATCTTTTTTAAGGTAACTATTTAACATCTTCTTCATGAATGCGTGGTACTCATAATGTAAAAATTTTTAGATGAACTGATGATGCTATCAGAATTCGATAGCGAAACGTCTTCAAAATAGATGAAGTACTATCAACTTTGTCTTTTATTTCTCCACCTAGTTGACCGATAATTGAACCCACCGCTCGTCTGAGTGATCCTTATTTATATATATATATATATATATATATATATATATATATATATATATATATATATATATATATATATAAATAAGCGAGGTTTCCGCGGGAGCTATATGTGCTGTCACTATTTTTCCGGGTTTGACTCCGCGTTCTAAAGTGCTGGTTTTCTTGAAAACCATTGTTTTGGCGACGTTTCGGCAAGGTCTCACTTGCCATTCTCAAGCCTGGTGGATCTACTTCTCGTCGTTACTCGATTAGACCAGTACTAATCGAGTAACGACGAGAAGTAGATCCACCAGGCTTGAGAATGGCAAGTGAGACCTTGCCGAAACGTCGCCAAAACAATGGTTTTCAAGAAAACCAGCACTTTAGAACGCGGAGTCAAACCCGGAAAATAGTGACAGCATTATATATATATATATATATATATACAATATATATATATATATATATATATATACATATATATATACAATATTATATTATATATATATATATATGTGTGTGTGTGTGTGTTATATTAATTAGATTGTATCACTGTATATAAAATAAGTTAATTTAACAATTCAACCCTTCATTTAAGTTGGTTGAAATTAAACTACAGGTATTAAAATGACTATTGATTAACATATTTATATGTTTCTAGATTACATCTCTTTAAGATAACAACTAGAAAAGTCAAGCCCCTGATGATTAATAGCTTAAGAGGACAAATTCGTTAAACTTCCCGTGCTTGAATTGGTATCAATAGAGTGCTATGACTCATTTCAGCATCCCTGCTTTATCACACACTTAAGCTGATACAAATTGAAACTCGGAAAGTATAACGAATGTCACCTAAATTTTTACCACTACAGTGGTTACCATTATATATTGTATTCTCTTGTAACTTGTGATTTAGAGTATAATATTACCAAAATTGTTTTCTCGAAGGAATTCCCGAAGAAATACACTTATGAACGTACCTCTTAAATATTTTGGAATTTTTTTTTTTTTTTTGTATTCACTATTATTTCAAAATAATTTTAGATTACTGATGTTACTCATATAGTAGCCTAATGTACTCGATTGGTTTGAAATATTTTGACGTTTATTTGGAATATTCAGCGTTTAGTGTCATTCGTACATTTTATCATAAATAACCTTCTTCACGTAAAGTAAAAATCATACTAATTCGGTTATATTTATTTTAATTTATTAAGTTTAATTAAATATTGTTTTGATTTAATTAAGTTTAAAACAAGTATGCCACCAATTCGACACTGCGATGTAGCCCAAGCAGCACAGATTGTAATTTTGTACTAGGAAGGATATATACAAAAGGATATCGCACGACGCGACGTCTCAAGAGAAGTCAATCTACAGTTTTGAATACTTTAAAAAGATACCGCGAAACAGGAAATCTTGTACGAAGGCCTGGTCAACGACGCCCAAGGTGCACAACCGCAATTGATGACGTTTTTTTGGTTCTTAATTCTACACGAAATGACATTGACATCAAAGCACCTCAGAAATGAGCTACTAAATATTAGACAAGTTAATGTGAATTCAGAAACAGTTAGACGAATATTAAAAGAAGCAAACCTAAAGCCAAAGTCTTCTCCAAAATCATAAAGCTCGTCGTTTAGAATTTGCAAGAACACATATTCAGTAAGATATCGACAACTGGAAAAATGTTCTTTTCACTGATGAGACTGCAATCCTATTATGGAAGCCTGATTATTAAAACCACGTCTACAAAAGAGTTGGAGAGTGGTCACTTGTAATCTCGCCCAGACCGTTATATCTCTAGGTGGTGTCATAATGCTTTGGGAAGGTAATATTTGGGAGGTACACATCGCACTTGTGGAAGTGATTGGACGGATGACTGGTGACTCCTACTTTCAAAACATCCTGTAAGATCATGAATTGTCATATTTTGGTTACATTGGATGTGACAGATTCATGTTAATGCACGATAATGCTCTACCACATGCCGCTGCTATAGTGAGTAATTATCTTGATCAGATACAAATTCAAATATTGGATTGGCCACCGTTGAGCTCGGATTTAAATCGAATAGAGCAAATGTGGAATCAGCTAAAACGCACATACGACAAAGAAATCTCATTCCAAATACGATAGAGCAGCTTCATTTTGCTGCACAGCATGAATGAAATACAATTCCCCAAGGGTATGTTTAAAATTTACTTGCAAGCATGCCAAGAAGGATGCAAGCAGTAATCAGAGCTAGAGGAAAGAATACTCGTTACTGATCATGTACTTCTTCCAGTTGAAAAGACTTTATATTTATCTAACATTAAGCATTATTTTTTTCGCAATATAATCCTCCTCTTAACTTAAAATTGTTCATTAAACATTGTTAAAATAAACTCTTCGCAATAAATGACCTGATTGATCAGAATTTATTCTCAAAAAAAGAATTTAAAATTCCAAAAATATTCGATATTTTTGTCCATGAGTGTATAAAAGTAAAGTTGAAAATTTAGAAAAGGTAAAAGATGGGATTAGCTAAGTGAAGACACGTTACACGTGAAGATCGAAACATTGAAAGGGCACCAAAAAAACTAAGAAATAAAAATCTAGGACAAACCTATGTCCCTATTCAGTGATAGCATCAATATACTGTTTAATATTTTGGTACCTCTGTCTCAATTTTCAAGTTGAAATTGATAAAAAAAAAACGCAGTTTTTGAAAAAAGAAACTTTTTACATTTAAAATGTCGTTTCACCAAAAATTTGCAGAATCATTTTTTACTTTATTTAGTACAAGAAAACAATTTTGGCAAAAGTAATGTCTTTTTTAAAAATATGTTAAAGTTTTTTACCTTGTGTGTGTAATTCATAAGTGGTTCCAAGAATTGGATAACTTTTAGGTCCAGGGATAGCATCAACATACTGCCAAATATCTTGGTACCTCTGTCTCTTTTTTATATAAACGTATATTATCAGAGGTATTAAAACCGCTATTAACAAAATCATGATTTTCGCGAACTGATGCGGTTATGAACTGCGATCTGCGATATAAAAATTGAACACAATGATTTGTAGTTGAAATTTTAAAACTGAAAAACGCATGGACCGGCTGGGCCCATTTGTGAATAAAAAATTATCTACATTTTTGTTCTAATAATCTTTGTTGAATTTTAGATTTTCATGCATTAATTTGGAAATAATCGATTATTTTAAAATCAATTTTTATTATTTCTTTAACTATATTATTTTTTACATTAAAAGCAGAAAGAACTGCTTACTTAAGATTTAAGTGTAAATTTCCTAAAAATATATACACTTAAACACACATGAAATATGAAACAAATAAGGAAAAATCATATTTACTAGAAATTGATGAACAGAAAGGTACGACATAAAACTGAAAACCACAGAATTTCGAATGAATTACTGAAAGACAGTGGGAAAAATTGCAATAAAAAAGAGTAATAAAACAAATTAAACTTAAAAAATAAAAATATTTATTGTACTAATAATATATACATTGCAACATATATTTACATAATATTTCAATATTATTTTCTTCTTCTGTCAACGTTCCGCTTCTGCACCGCTGACTTTGTGAGACCGCATCCTCTTTGAGTACCTGGTTTTCTGTGTTTTTAGATTCCTGGACGTCTTCTTCTGTAGGTACTTATCTTGGCACTGTACCTACTTCCCTGCTTGTCTGTCTTCAGCAAACACTTGGTAACCACCCTTTTCTCTGATTAGTTGATTAGTCACAAGGTGTTTTTCTCGGTAGGTCCTCTGTATTTGATTCCTCTTGAGTATGCCTCGGATCTTAATACAACAGCTGACAATATTACTTACTTATCAACAATATTTATTACGTATTCTTCCTCTTTGTGAGCTTTTCCCTTTTTCAGAGGTCGTCGTTCCAACGCAAATCTCACCACACTCTTGTATATCTTTCCTTTTAGCCCTTCCTTATTTTGATCACAAAGTAGGCCGCTCATTCGTTTTTAGTTAAACAAACCAATTTATGTACACTGTGGACAATTTTTTGATCTAGTGCTTCATTTTACTTTATGTAAGAGCCAAGATATTTAAATTCTCCTACTCGTTCTAGTCTTGCTCCAAGCAATTCTACATCTCCAACCATTCCTCTTCCCCCAACCATATAACTTACTAACCTTAAGTCCTTCCTCTTTAATAGCCCTTCTCCAATACTCCAACTTTTCCTCCAACATTTTTTTCACCTCTACTAACACAGTATCATCAGCAAAGAGCATTGACCAAGGAGCAACCTCCTTTACTTTCTCTGTGAAGAGTGTCGATGCAAACCAACCGTTACTGGAAAACTTTCGGTCAATCCGACAGCAGTCCTTACCTTGGTGTACGCTTTTTCATATATATCCTTCACAAGTCTTACGTACTTCTCAGGAACCCATTTCTCTCTCATACATCTCCATAGCTTGTGTCTAGGAACTGTGTCGCACGCCTTCTCAAGATTTATAAATATCAAATGTAGCTTTTTTTAAAAAAGGAAAACTATTGCAACCTATCAAATATGAAACTGGCATTAGACAAGGAGATTCGCTGAGTCCATTAATATTTAATTTGATAATGGATGAAATCATAAAAAAAGTTTAAAAAATGAAGAGGATATAGAATGAGAGAAAAGGAAATAAGGAAAATATGCTACGCCCACGACGCCATAATAACAGCTGAAAATGAAGATGACCTATAAAGATTAATTAAAGAATTCGAAGATACAGCGCTCATATACAACATGGTGATCTCAACAGCGAAAACTAAAACGATAGTGATATCAGCGGAACCGAGACGATGTAAACTAGTCGTAAATAACAAAATAATAGAATAAGTGGTGGAAACTGAATACTTGGGAATAAAACTGTCAAACTACGGAAAAGTGGAAGAAGAAGTGCAAAAACAAGTGAACATGGCAAACAGAGCAGTAGGATGTCTCAACAACACAATCTAGAGAAACAAATACCTCACAACGGAAACGAAAACCAGGATATATAAATCAACAATAACACCGATAATGACGTACACAGCGGAAACAAAGCAGATACGGCGAAAACACAAAGACTGCTGGAAACAAGAGAAATGAAAGTATTATGAAAAATAACAAACCAAACTCCAAGAGATAGGGTAAGAAGTGAGGAAATACGAGCGAGATGTGGTATAGAGGAAATAAACGCGTGGCCCGAAAAAAGAAAAGTGGATTGGAATCAACACATCAAAAGAATGACAGAAAATAGAGTAGTACGAATACCAAAAGAGAAATCACCAAATGGAACATCATTGGGGACGACGAGAAAAACATGGTCAGACAATGTCAATTAAAACTAAAAACCGAAGTAAAACAGGCATTAAGCCTATTTATAAAGTAGCAAAAAAAAAGAAATGTAGCTTTCTTGTCTTTTGCTGTATTTCTCCATCAACTGTCTCAAAGCAAATAAGGCAAATGTTATCCTGCTTCCTACCATTGGCCCATCTCCATTCCATGTACAATTCCATCTCAATAAATGGTCATAAACTAAACAACCTACGTTTCGCAGATGACACAGCCCTTCTTGCAAATAGTCAAGCAGAGCTGATGGAACTTATACGACTGATCGAAAACGAAAGTCAAATATTTGGTCTGCAATTAAACATATCAAAGACAAAGATCATAATAGTGGATAGACTACACAACAATCATCCACACATAACCACAATTGACCGGTTTGAGGTTGTGAGCTCATACTTATATCTGGAATCATTAATCACAAACACAGGGTCATTACAAGAAGAGATTAAACGTAAATGTGATCTAGCAAAAGTTGCCAAAGCAAAAATGACCAAAATATGGAAGGACTGTCAAATTTCAAGAGCGATAAAGATGAGGTTGATCAACTGCTTAATATTCCCAATACTGACCTACGGATGTGAATCTTGGACTCTGAGACAATCGGAGAGAAGAAAGATAGACGCCACTGAAATGTTCTGTTGGAGACGAATGTTACGAATTCCTTGGACCGACCGCAGAACAAATAATTAAATTTTAAGAGAGCTAAAAGTTAGCCAACGACTCTCTAGTAAAGTCCATCTCCAACAATTAAAATATTTTGGGCATGTTATGAGAGCAAACACAGAAAACATGGAAAGACTCATAATACAAGGAAAAGTAGAAGGCCGAAGATCACGAGGAAGATCCCCAACAAGATGAATAGATCAAATTACAGGAATATGCCAAAGACCTATGCATGAAATAAAAGAAATGACCAGAGACAGAGATCTCTGGAGACGGACAATACACGACATCACGTCGACCACTACACTCCCCCTGGGGTCAGGTCAGGTCAGGATTGAAGAGAGAGAGAGAGACCATTGGCCCAAACTGTTCTTCTCATATCGATGTCTCTCTCCTTTATGTTCGCTCTACAGTTCTCTCTCAAATTTTTATGATGTGCAAAATTACAACGCTGCAAGTTGACCCCGCCTCAGAGCGCGTTATTAAAAGTTCCATTATCTTGGTCAAAAATTAATGTATAAACATTTACCAAATTTTAAACTGTTAGTTTTGAGTTATCTGTAAATGGTCCCTGTGACATCAAAATATAAACCAAATATATAATAACAACCATTCGTTATGGTGAGTTGTTGGAAGCAAAATGTCTTCTCTGTATATTTTTATTTATCGATGTTTTTCTCTTGACAGTAATTAATGTTGTATTTAACAAATTGTAAACTTGTTTGTCTCATTGTTGTTGGTGTATCGAATATTTTGGTGAATATTAAATGTACTAATTTTTTCATTATCTAAATTTATATCCAAATTTAGAGCCTGGATTTAATCCAATACCTTAGAGCATGGATCACAGAAGATACTGATCAGACAAAAGAAATAAGATGCCGCATTGAAATTGCGCGGTCAACTTTTAATAGAATGAGAAAACTTTTTTGTAATCGCGATATCAATATATCGCTCCGGATAAGAATGCTTCGATGTTATATTTTCTCTACCCTTTTATATGGAGTTGAAGCTTGGACACTTAAAAAATCCAACATTAAAAACCTAGAAGCATTCGAAATGTGGTGTTACCGACACATTTTGAAAATATCATGGATGAATCGCAAAACAAACGAACAATTTCTCGAACAACTAGGAAAACAATGCGAAGTTTTAAATTCCATAAAAATCAGGAAATTGGAATACTTGCCCCAAGTATTCCAATACATAATGAGAGGTGAAAAGTACGAACTACTAAGGAATATAATGCAGGGTAAAATCAAAGGTAGAAGAAGCGTAGGAAGACGTAAAATCTCGTGGCTACGCAATCTCCGTGAATGGTTTGGATGCAGTTCAATTAAACTATTCAGGCGAGTAACCAATAAAATTATAACTGCCAGAATGATTTCCAATCTCCGATAGGAGTGGAACTTGAAGAAGGAGAAGAATATCCAAATTTAGTCATACGGTTCACACTCCCTCTAAGGGGAAAATTCACTCATCTCAGACACCTAAGGTATCAAAAGGATTGAGCTCTGGTGAGATTCTTTCCGTGTTATCGAGCCCTAGGTGACTTGGTATGTTGGAGTATCTCCCAAAAATTTTCGTACACATTTGGACGTCGAGAGGAGTATAGCTTTCTGCATGGCCTTATAGAGATGTTCATTTAGACCCAGTTGTTTTATGTTCTCTAGGAGGTTTTTTGGAATAACACCAGTAGTAGATAAAATAATAGGTACTATCTGGGCACTTCTCATTCTCCATTGTGGCCTGATTAGTATTTTTAGATCTCTGTACTTGGCAATCTTTTCGTTGTATTTAATACGTATATTATTGGTATTGGGTATCGCCACATCAATAAGTGTTGTTTGCCTAGTAATTTTATTAACTAGTATGAGATCGGGTCTATTATGTGCCATTGGTTGGTCTGTAAGCACAGTGCGGTCCCAATATAGCTTGTAGTTGTCATTTCAACAACAGGGCCGTATTGATAATAAGGAACATGGTCGGTTTGGAGA